GTACTGCTGCGTCAAGAAGTCAATAACTTGCACTTCTCCTTTCCTGAAAATCGGAGGATTTCCATAATCATGATAATTGACTAAATGAAGAATATCCTAGTACCGTTTAGCTTTTGAATAGAACACACTGTCTTCTCATAAGGTGCTCAAGATGAAGGGTGTTCTTCACAAAAATAAGGAAGATATAATTTTCTTCTTGAAGAGATACCAAAGAGCATTTTCCAGTATTACAGGATCGACTTCGTTTGTTCATGTAAATAATAGGATGGCACAAGTTCTAGTCCGATCTCAAAGATGCCAAATTTTTATAACTAAGAAAGCTGGGAACATGAATCTGAGCTTTCCTTTGAACCCTATTTCGTAATATTTTCAACTTGAGATATGATCGAAATTTTCTAGTTCTTTCTGCAGGGAGAAATCGTAATATGGTACGAATAAATTTATAATTATGTACTGTACATACTTCAATTCATAATGTAATGAAGTTCATTCATGAAAAGTAAATTTTTATTTGTTGAATACATGTAATGTACGGAATTTGAGGAACAAATTTCACTTGTCATTTTTGTAAAATAAAAATTACAGAGCATTCGAAACGAGTTTTCTTTGAATCTTAAGCATTCATTTTGAAAGTCGGTTCTGTATTGAAAGATACTGTACAAGGTTTTTTCATTTTCCTGGGTCACATTTTTTTCGGGAACTTAGAAATGAAGAATTCAACTTACCCCGCTTCAATCTCGGACTGCCGCCGCACCGCAGAATACCGAATGGCAATCGTCGCAGCTTTTCTCAGCCACTTCCCGATTTCTTTTGCGATTACTACTCGCAAGAAAACCATTGAACCGTAGCTCAGTTTGTCGCTTTTCGGCTTCACATAAGTTCCATCCTTCAACAGAAAATCAAATAATTCACGACCAAACGAAAACATTTTTACTAACTGTACCGGCAAAACTTGAGCATGTCTCATCAGCATATGACTCCTCGGCATCCGCACATTTTTCAGCATCAAAAATCCGTTATCATTCGAATTCATCCCATACTTTCTGCCGATTTCCCCGACCGTGACACCTGAATAAGAACATTAAAATCCGTACACGCCTAAGAAAAAAAGAGGGAGTAGCAGATTCATACCAGGCGAAGGGGTGTGATCCTCCTCACTGCGAATCTGTACGATGAACGTGTGCAAGCCATGGTTTTGTCCTTTGGTTATCAAATGGGCACCAAGTATCACGTAATTGACCGTTTTCCCCACTACAAACAGTTCGCACAAATATTGATTATTGTAGTACTGCAGTTTGAAAGATTCTCTGCGAACGACTCACTTCCACCTGGCCACCATTTCATCGATTCCAACTTCGGCGTGTTGAAGACGAATTCCTGCGTTTCAGGATCATATTCAGCGGTTGTCTGCAGTTCTCTCAAATTCGTTCCGTGTCCAAGTTCCGTCTACGTTGAGACGAATACATCGGAATTACTTCGCAGATCACGATAAATTCTTTCAATAAAAGTGAAGCTAGTCTCAAGCTCTTGAGTCCAGGATATTAAAATAACTTCATTCACGGACTTTTCAAAGAAGAAGAAACAGTTTATCTCAGGCTCTGGAGTCCAGGAAATTGTTGGAAGTTCAGAGATCACCACGCATTCTCTTTGAAAATTCACGAATTATTCTTTCAAGAAATCTTCTGTAGACAAAGAACTATAAAAATGGGGAAAAATAAAAAATAAAAACGGCCAGCTACATATTTTTGCAGCTCTTTTACGCTGGAGATTGACTGTCTCAGCCCTGCTTAAAACGAACCTGAGCATACGTCCCCAGATATTCACAATTAAAGCCTCGCATCAGCCATTCTTTTTTCTGCTCGTCACTTCCTTGGCTATTGATAACCGGCAAAAACGCTGCGAAATGTAACGTCAGCGGGTTTCCATCCGGAATGATGCAGGATGCAAAACTCAACGAGTTGAACAAACTACAACACGAGGGAAAGGTTTTCCACGAAACTCAAACCACAAGGCACATCGACTCACTGTAAC